TGTAAGAATTAATTTAATAGTGGACTTTGTCATTGCTAATAATGGTAAATAAATTTAACGTTTGCTAGATTAGAACAAGTTTCCTTTTCTAAAATATATTACGTTCCGATCGAATTAATACAGTTTAATTCATAATTTATGTTAACACGATATGATTTAATCATAAAACAAATTTTATCGGAAATTAATATGAATAATACTGCAATAACTCTGTTAAAACTTTATTCATAAGTGCAGATTATATTTTCTGGGAAGGAAATTCGAATGACGAGAAAAAACGTAATATCCGCAATTTAGATCTCATTTGAAATGAACGATATTACGAACAAAAATAACTTCATGGGAAAAAATAAGATATTGTTAGTAACGACTTGAGTTGCATATTACCTAAACTACTTCAAGAAATCTTATATTTTATAGAAAAATATATCATTCATCCATATGTACAAATGGGTTGCTATGAAATCCTAGACTCAAGGCATGTTCTATTTTAATTTCCGACTCGTTAACTTAATCTTTCACTTGCCATACAAATACCGTTAAGTCTGTACACAGATTGAAAATGTCTGCCTCCCGGCTATTCACCTCGTATATTAAATTCACCTTTTTAAATGATATATTCTATAAATATATGTTTGGACTCATCAAGCTGCTTACTTTTGCCAAACAGCATAATGCACATTCGTTAATGTAATATGTTTTTATTTTACAATGTCTACAATCAATCGCTGCATTTCTTCTCTACTTCTTACCGCGTCATGATTCTAATACTACTAATAATTTTTTTTTATCTATACGCACTAAATGAAAACATCCGAAGATTCTTCTTTCTTCTTTAATCGGAAATATAGTAGTCACACAGCCCGACCACGCTTCTTCACCATTCTTCTAGGTTCAAGGCAAGTATGCCCGGATTCACTTTGTTGCTATTTTCTGATTGATAAAGAAGGAATATTGAGACGAGGTTGTCTGTTGCCCTTATGCATAGAGTTTATTAATCTATGAACTATGCATAAATGTTCTTAATCTATGGTTGTCAGTTGACTATTGATGAAATCAGTTCTGTTAGCACCCGGTACATATCTGTAACAGGTGGTACAGGATATCATAAGAGAAGTTAGTAACTCCTTGAAAAGTACCGGAAATAAATATCCATTTAGTTATTGTGTTCACCTACCTGAGATATCTGAGATAGTCTTTCAAGGATCATTTTATACGATATCGACCATTTGGCTGTATTAGTGGAGCTAACCCATTTGGATAAATAAATAAAAAAAGATGTATTTCTAGAAATCAACAAACATTTTGTGAAGCATGTTAGTTCCATGAAGGAAATATTAGTTGTTATCCTAACTGACAACAACGATTCTCAATCAGACATTGAAAAGCTTTATCCCACATACAGAAAGGACACTGTTTTGCTCTCTTCTCGCTGTTTGCATAAGCTGCACACACCTGACAGTACGTCCTTGGCCAAATAAACATTGCACCGGTTCCAAAAAATACCTGAATAAGAAATAATCCTAGTAAATCAATGACAATATATAACCTTCTTTTGTGAAAGATTCCTGTTACTGCAAATATCACAGATGGATTCAAAAGGATTTTCCTTACAATCAAAACATTTTCACATTAACCGATTTTACTCCAGTAAATTTTACAAAACAGGTCAGATCTTCAATTAGCCAAACAAAAAGTAGGTTTCTGTCTGAAGCTCTGGCGTGAGGAGTTATCATTAGTTACATAATTTATACTCGGTCTGTTGTCCTCATCTTTGTTGTTGCTTCCCCGTTGCGGGCGTTGTTCCCTCAGTGAGCAACCGAAACATTATGACAACAACAACAACAACAACGATGAGGACAAGAGACCGAAAATAAACGGTGTAAATAGTAGTAGCTTCACATGATATAAGTCAGTTGCACATTGAAAAGTGCCGGAAAGGCATAATCATTTAGTAAGTGTGCTTGACTACCAGATAACCACATTACCTTTTCTAAGGATACTTGTTTAATAATTGTTTGACCAATGTTTCGACATTAAAATTCATCTAAGGTAGCAATAGTAATTAAATAATTTGCAGAGCAAGCTTAAAATCTCCGTACTATTCCCAGAAATGTTTACTATTTCGAGCATCCTGTGAATATGTCAATCTTGTCACGGGATGCCAGCTCTTATCAAGATCAACGAACTCACCAGGTGTACAGCAAGATCTTGGAAAACCATCACTTTTATGGATCCAAAGGGAATTGTGGAAGGAACTAATATTTTCACTGAATTGAAAATTTACATACATACAAATTGTTACAATAAAACCACTACAGAGATTATTTTAAATGCTTATTTTATGATACTATGGTATTGACTGAAGGTTTGTATCTGTTTTTTAATAGAATTATTCATTATACTTGCAACTATGTTTTTCTGAAATTATGTCTGCTGGGGAACTTTCATTGGCACTTCAGTGGTACTAGGTGACTAATGCCAAAGATGCAGAGTTTGGAGAAAAAAAAACTGTACACCCTCCCACCCCTAAAATAATTTATCATCTGAAAATTTTCTCATGAAAAGGTTTGCCCTTTACTTAAAACATTTCGGGGTCCATCTATTGAAAACCAGAATGAAAAAAATATCACTGACACCTCTGAAAATAATGGAGCTGAGGAAAAAAAAGTGGAAAATGAAACAAAAGAAAATTAAAAATTAATAAAATCCTTTTCATTATTGGGCGTATTACCTTGTACATACTCAAGGGCTGGTGAGAATTGAGTTAAGTGTGCATATTGTTGATTGTATTTCAGAAAACGGAGACAATTTTTTTGTTTGTTAAAACTGATCATTTGATGATTCGAATTTGACTATTGTCTAGCATAAGAAATAAAATTAATGACTGTGACTTTAATAGACAAGATTTACTACTAATATTTTGATATTTACATTTTATTGGTGGAAGAATATCTATAACATCGGTATTGTAATTCTTTTCTTATTGTTATTTTTTCCTATCTCTCACCTGATTACCATAAATTTCTTTTAAGTTCAATCATATCAGATTCCACTTGTCCTACCTGGTTGTCATCATATAAATAAAATCTTCTTTTTACTCAAATATATTTTCTATCACAGTTAGTACTCCTGCCTAGTTTAAAGTATTATATTTCTCATTATGTAGCAATATGTTAATCACAAGTGTTTGTTTAGTGACATATCAAGTACTTATGGGTCAATTAATATCGAAATTTAATTTTCTTGGTGGCATTAATAATTTTCTTTACAAAATATATTGATGGTATTTTTTTTTAAATTTATTGCTAATAATTTTTTTTTACTGTGAAAATACATCGCTGGTATTTTCAGTATAAAAATATATTTATGTTCGTTTTTTATTGTTTAACCCCAGTTGGGGGTAACTATTTTCTCATAGCTGGGATCCTAACAGGTGCTACAACAGCAATTAACAGGTGCTTCCATACTCCTCAAAACCTTCAATCACCCGATCAGTGGCCTTGCTACCGGATGTAGTTTATCGTCATGCCCGGGACGATCATCACAAGTGCCACTTCTAACAACAGAACTCGATTGTATATCTGATTCTACTAACCAACCTCAACAATGGGTTTGGTTGGTTCACGTTTTTGTGAATATTTAAACGATAAATTGATTCGTGTTTCAGACTTAAACAACCAATTCAATGTCTTTTTTATGGTGACATTTTGGTCATATTCATATTTTAATAAATAGGCTGTTAGAACAATTTAACTGAAAAATGTTACATCTAGCCTTGGGTTTCTGTACTTCAACATATTATCTAGGCAAATAGAACATGAGTTTAAAAACACTAGCAGTTGTACTACCATTGTAACTGTTTATCGATCCCATTAAATTTTCTTACACCATATTTTAACAGTAAATTTATTTCTCGCTCAGTTTCTAACAGTTTTTTTTAATGTAAAAAATATAATCTTCTAATTGATTTACTTTCAGAGCTTTTCGTATATTTTGAGCTCAGAAATCCTAATTAAACAGCATTAAAATTATTCCGGAATTACCACATCTACCCCGTGTAGTATGTTTCTCATGCGTAGGAAATTATATTTTGCTTGTATATATGTCATTAAACAAGATCATATTCAATATCTTAAGAAAATTATATACACGTAAGTTATCGCTCATATTCCTGTACATGTGAAAACTCTGATTCTATTATATAATTACATATATTTAGGTTAGAAATTGAAGTATGTTTGAGTAACTATTTTGCAAAGAAGCGAAACAGACAAATTCTGGCGATAAGGCAAACTGAACCAATGTTATGTTTAGATGGAAAAGAATAAAATTGTTAGAATCCCCAATTATGTCGATGCAAGAACAGAAAAAGTGATTGATATTATTATTGTATTGTTATTTGACAGTAAAAATTTAGAAGTATTAAAAAAGAAACTGCTACTAAAGAACAAAAAGTCTGGGAACTTATTATCTGATATGATTACATTTTGACTTTTAATGCAACGTATTATTTAGCTAGACAGTGAAATATCAATAATGGATTAATTGGTGTGGTGTTTTTCTTGACAGATGTTATGTTGAAGTTTTTATTGCTGTTAGAAAATTGCTATATTGATGGCATTAAAATTATCCGTTGAACTAACAAGAGTTCTTTTTACACAAATTCCAAAAAGAAATGATTCCTGAAACAATGTATTCATAGCACGAATTCCACACGAATTCCTTCTTCTGCTTTCTATATCCTTCTCTTAAGTCTAAAACGTATTTGTTTGCCAAATGCAACCTCCCGATTCCGGAGAATTCCCAGTTAGAGCATAAACTAACCAACCTAGTAATATACATTAACCAGCAGTCTCTGTTTCGTGATTGGTTCTTTTAATTCAAAAACGAACCTCCAGGAGAACTTATTCACCCTAAAAGATAAAATGTTTTAAGTTAATACAGAAGCTGAAAAGAAATAAATGACTTACATTGTTTTACCTAATATATTCAGAGATTACGCCTATATCACGTTGAAACACCGGTTTCCGTATGATCACCGAGGTTAGGCAAGGCTAAGCATTGTTAGTACCAAGATGGGTGACCGCTTGTGAATATCCAGGTGCTATAAGCTTGGATGTGTGGGTGGTGTAATAGATAATAGCTCGGAATAGTTAGAGAACTTTTTTATGTGCCTTTTCTCTGCAGCAGCGGCCATAGCTTTCCAAATCTTCCTGTTCCTTGTAGCACTTAATAAATTTGTCTTTTTGTGATTTCTTACAAACCCGCTCTGCCATCCACTCACTCAAGCCCAATGTATGTTACGCGTTGCTTTCCTCTGTCTCTCAGTCTGTCCTGTGAGTATCAGATTTTCCAAACCATCCTTCAACATTACGTGCTCCAGAAATTTCAACTGATAAAAGTTTCCTTTTTCTTTCCATCTTCTCTAAGACTTCGTCGTTGCTCTCATGTTCGGCCTGTGGTATTCTCAGTATCTTTCTGTAGAACTAAATTTCTGTTGCCTCAAATCTCCTTTTCATCTTTGAAGAGATTGTCCAGCATTCACTGCGATATAGGAGCATAGATATCACGTAAAAGTTCAGTACGCATTTCTTCGTTTCTAAAGAAGTTTGTCTCTTAATACTCTGCTTAGCTTTTGGAATACCAATGCGTCTTCGGATCTCAGTGTCGCACTTTTTGTCCTCTGTTAGAAGACTTCCAGAGATTTATTTAAATCTTCTGTACTTTTTTTTTTTTTTAAGCATTGTGCCCCAAGCAAGGCGTGAAGCCACTAGGATGCAGGGGGTTGCGGAAGATTTGGAGCGAGAGCAGATAAGAGTGATAGGAGAAAGGAAGAGGAAAAGGATAGTGGGTAGATCAAGGTAATTGGAGATGTCGATTGACATTACATTTGAATAGTTGGAGATTATAGCTTTCAGGGAAACAGTAATTGGGGAGGGTGTTCCACTGGCGAGAGGTGCGAGGTATGAAGCTATTGGAGTAGAAGAGACGGCTACATTTGAAGGTTTCTACGGTGTAAGGGTGAGAGCAGGATGCCAGCCTCGTAGGGCGCTTGAATTCATGGAGTCTGGGAACCAGAGAGAGCAGCTCATCAGAGCAGTTACCATGGAAGTATTTGTAGAAAAGACAGAGAGAGGCGACGGCGCGTCTGTGAGAGAGTGACTGCAGACAAGACGCTAGATCAGGGCCAATTAGATTACATATCTGTCTCTGGATCTTGTCAAGAACTCCGAGGTAGGCAGAAGGTGCTCCAGCCCATATATGGCAGCAATACTCCATGCAAGGGCGAATGGTTGTTTTGTATATTTGAAGTATCGATTCAGGGGAGAAAAATTTCCTGGCGCGGCACAGAGAGCCAACTTTCCTCGCGGTGGAAGAAGCAATTGACTCAATGTATTTGTTCCATCTCAGGTCAACAGTCAGCGTGAGGCCGAGCAGACGCAGGGAGTTGCTCTCAGGAAGTTGACTATCAGACATTTTAATGGGGGGGCAGGGAAGATCTCTATGGTGGTTAATGGAGAGTAATTTAGTTTTTGTGGCGTTAAAGTTGACCAGCCAATTCTTGCCCCAGTTAACAACCGATTGGAGGTCCATTTCAAGACGCACGGCAAGGTTAGTTTTGTTGCCGACACTAGATTTGTTTTTGAGGCAGGAGTAAATTGTAGTGTCGTCTGCATAGATGCCGACTTGGGAATCTATAGCTTCAGGAAGGTCATTGATGAAAATAAGGAAAAGAGTGGGGCCAAGGATGGAGCCTTGGGGCACACCTGCGTTAGTGGGATAGGAACTGGAGGAGAATCCATTGAGAACGACCTTCAATTCTCGGTTGGACAGGAATGATTGTATTAGATCAAACAGTTGACCAGTAACACCATACCCTTACGAAGAAGACCGGCGTGCCAAACCCTATCGAATGCTTTGGAGATGTCGAGGGCCACAGCACGAGCCTCACCGTTATTTTGAAGGGCTTGGTAGACGGTTTCAGTGATGGCCGTAAGCACATCAGCTGTAGATCGGGCGTAGCGGAAACCATATTGCTTGTCTGAGAGCAGATTATGGGATGTGAGGTGATTAACCACTTCGGCATTGATTAGGGCTTCGAAGACTTTGCCGAAGAGGAGTAGGAGACTAATAGGACGGTAATTAGTGGGGTCAGAGGGGTCTCCAGAGTTCTTAAACACAGGAACAATGGATGAGGACTTCCAGCAGTCAGGAAAACATGATTCCTTGAGGCAGTAATTATACAGTTTAGAGAGGGCGGGTGCTAGCCCAGGCGCGCATTTCTTCAGGACAATGGCTGGTATGCCATCTCCACCACTAGCCTTGTTGGGGTCTAAGGTGGAGATAATGCCCAGTACCAATGACGGGGTTATGTGTAAGCCGCTCAGTAAGGCCTCAGTTCTAAGAGGGAAGTCTGGTCTGGGTACACCGGTGGAGTCGAGCGTTGGATTAAATGAGAATTTCCGAGCAAAGCATTCAGCCTTGTCGGTAGAGGAGGTCAAGACCTCGAACTGGTTGAATAAAGGAGGTATGGAGGGTTTTCGATTATTCAGGACACTCTTGCAGACTCGCCAATAATCTTTGGAGCCAAATTTGTGAGATGCAATACGTTCCTTCATTCGAGCAGCAAATATTGACTTAGCTTTGTTGAGGACACGCTTACACTCGTTACGGGCAGAGGCAAAGAGACGTATATTGCAGTCCGACATGTCGCTACGGAATCGGTGAAAGAAGTGATTCCTATGGGCGATGGCAGATGAGCAAGCAGCGGAGAACCAAGGGGAGGAATGCGACTTGACCTTAAATTTCCTTGAGGGGATGAAAGCGTCGATTCCAGCTTTAACCCAGGATGAGACCTCAGAAGCACATTCTTGGACAGGGAGTGTAAAGACAACATCCCAGGGGACATCGCGGAGGAAGTCACGGAACGAGTCCCAATCCGCTCGTTGATAGTAGAACGAGGTTCTTGTGATGGGAGGTTCTTTGCAGGGCGTGGAGTTGAAGGAAACGTTGACAGATACCACAGCGTGATCGGAGTTGCCAAGCGGGCAGAGCTGTGTGGCGCTACAAGATTCGGGGATGGAGGTAAAACACAGGTCGAGAAGAGAGGCTTTACCTGCCAGGTCTAGGGCAAAACGCGTGGGGAAGTCGACTATCTGCGTGAGGGATTGAGAAATTGAGAAGTTAAATGTTTGAATGCCAGCCCGGTCAGTAGTAGCATTCTCGAGCCACTTGGTGTGATGGGCATTAAAGTCACCAAACACGAATATATGAGCAAACGGGTGGAGAGAGAGGGCCTTGTCTATGCTGTCAGATATGCTATCAAGTATCCCACAGTCTTGAGAGGATGGAGAGCGATAGAGGAAGAAGAGATAGCGTACGGCATTGAGGAGAGATAGTCGGAGACACATGTACGACAGGTCTGGCGATTCGAGAGACAGCTTTCTGGCCAGGGGGAGATGGTCCTTGACATAGACACCAAGGCCGTGCATGTGGGTTAGAGAGTCTTTCCTGAGGAGAGAAAGGTAGCCAGGGATCGAGAGATCAGAGGAAGGAATAGACGAGACAAGGTTTGTCTCACACAGAGCCAGTATATCCAGGCAGTTTGCAGTGAGGAAAGATTCCAAACTACAGAAGTTTGTTCTAATGCCACGGATGTTGGCGAACGAAATGTTGAGGGGTTTAGGTGATTTTTGCGGGGCTGGTTTAGGTTTGCTTGATTTTTGTATCCCCATTTTGTAATTTGCATTTTAGGGTCATTCTCTTGCTGGTAACCATGCATTTTGCCTTATAGTTTCTATTTAGTCCTTTCTTCTCGCTTTCCTTTACTATCTTCTGTAAGAGCTATGGTAGTTTCCTTTCCAGGTCTGCTATTAACATTTTGTCATCTGCATATCTTTTGCTGTTAAGATTGTGGCCGCCAATTATGAATTTGGTAGGACTTTTAATTCTCTCAGAATTACCTGGCTGTGTCGGGTGAATAAATCCTTGTCTTGGACTCCTTTCTATTTTTGTGTATCTGCTGAATACATTTTCTGTCCGGATGCAGGTGGTTGGCTGCCAGTATACTAAAGAACACGTATGACATATTGAAAACAAGAGAAGCGAAAACCAGTGACTAAACTACTTAATGAATTGTGTACGAATGGATGGAAGGAAAATGATGAATGGTAAAGGGTCAAAGAACAACAAAAATCGAATATTTTGGCGGGACATGATCACTTACTTAGTGGATGGTAGAACAAAGGCAAAGGGAAATGGTAAAGAGTGAAGAGTTACTTAAAACAAGAAAGGACTGGCGCTTGTGAAAATTCATGATAGCCCACATCCTGAAATAAATTAATACAGAACAAGAAAGTAAAGGTTTTATTCATAGATGGAATAAGAAAGAAATATGTCCGCAAAAATAAGTAATTACTTTTTCCTTTCTCTCTTTCTCTCCCTCTCCACCTCTCTCTATATATATATATATCTCCACCTCCCTCTCTTTCTCTCTCTATCTCTCCATCTCCCTCTCTTTCTCTCTCTTCCTCCCTCTCTCTCTCTCTCTGTCCGTAAAAATACGTAACCACTTTCTCTCTCTCTTTTTCTGCACATTCACGGCTGATGAAGTCGAAACCGATTTTCTATATATCAGTTTTCCAGTCAGTAACTCTCTATTGAACAGAAGAGATATGATCAAATGTACTCCTTGACACCTGCAGCAATATGGTGATGGAACTTGGTATTGTACTAAATTACATAATTGTACGGGAAGATACAGAAATATAGACATAGTTTTCGGAGTAAGGTAAGACAAAATATCAGTAAAATTTCATTCTTACGACTTGGTAATTTTTTAATTTATTTCTTCTAAAAACGAGCTCACGAGAAAAGTAAGAGAAGTCCATTATTACTCTTGTAGAATTATATCAAAATCATAAAAGAAATATGAAGTGGGTTTGATTCGCGAAATGGAATTACTCAACGTACTTGTAATGTATCTGCCTTTGATGTAAAGTCGCTCTTTGAAGATGAAAACTGGACATTATAAAATACTGTGAAGTAAATAGTGGTCGATCTTGATTATTATTAGAAATATATAAAAATGATCAAAACAGACCACAAT